CTGCATTTCACAAGCTCAGTATTCATTTGTCTCATATTCATTGGGGAGGGAATAAGGGGGGCAGTGAGGGCCTCAAATCAGCACTGGGGGGAGGGGCTCAGCCCCCCCCCCCCCCCCCGAATGCATGCAAAGTGACGCCCTTGACTGTCAGCATAAGAATTTTGAACGCATAATGCTAAAAACAAGAGCTTAGGGCCTTTGTTGGTTATATATAGTGTTTAGAAATAGTCACAACCACAAATGGCAGTCTGGAGCACTTTTTAAAGAAACATCTTCTAGCTATAACTTGTGGTTTAGGTACTCTTCGTTCTGAAACAGCGTGCAAATAGCTAGCCGTTTCCTCTTCAGAATAAGACTAAGTGGTGATTGAATTGAGCCTATAATCGTAAGTTTGGCACGAAAAAGTGCAGGCTCCGTACTCAAAGCTAAACACGCCATGTTGTTCCTATAAAACCCCAAATTATGCCACGGTGATTTCGTTTGGAATTTTATGATGATGTCATACTTTTATTCAAAGCTAAGTAGTATTTACGGACTTTGCCACTAAGTCTTTTCTAAGTGGCTTACACAGCTAGCTTCGGACTCAGGGTCCCTGCCAAGGGCGGTCCGTTTCGGGTACGCTGAGCCCACCACCTGAGGCGTGCCGTCTTGTTCCTCGGATAATTGTCCCCCCTTTCGCTAGCCCCGACTGAGGACGGCTTTACATGCTTCACAGTGCCGCAGTACGGCCTGAGTGGTCCGCTCAGGCCCGTAGCAGCCATTCTTGGGCCATTCACTAGTTGGCCTTTCAATGCTAGTCGGGCCAATCACCTGCTCTATTATTCATGCCGAATGCCGTTGGACAATAAGGTCAGCATATTGCCCTCAGCGCACGGGGGCGCCGCTCGAAAGAGTCACGAAATATTAAGGTCAGCATCTGGCTGTCATTATTCTAACATAAACATCCAGAACAAATGCTTATAATAAATTACGCCGTGAGGTCTGTCGCTGGGGTCAATCATGCTCACTAACACCGAATGCAGCTTGCAAAAATAGAGTGGTTTATTTATGCATCCACCCATTAATGAGTGCAAATTGTAAGCGGTCGAAAACAGTTTTGCGGTCGAAAATGGTCAAATCGCCAAATCGCCGATGCAAGATCGCAGTGCGGTGTGCTGTCATTGAAGCCCTTTGTCGCTTATGGGGATAGGGAAGCACTACATTGTCTGCGCCCATGAAGGCAGACGTCTGTTTCAACTCGGCTTCAGATTCACGCTCATCTCGTAAGCTCCTAACGCCCAAGTAACGCGTTTTGCAATTCGTAATGTGGAGGTGCACCCTTCATTTGGGCGACACATTGCATCCACATTGATCGTTAACACAGTTTTTTTTAGAACGCTTTGATGACATTTTACAAACTCTGCGTCTGCATTATCTGCTAGCAAATTTGTCAATTCGTGGGACAACATCCCGGTATGACCTCAAATTAGCACGGGGTTTTTCCTTAACTTCGAGAAGTGCGATCATGCTGTTGTTTGTTTAGCGAAACCTTGTCATTTGTTGTGTTATTAAAATATTTGTTGCTTTTGCGAACTTAGCCTCTGGCCACATTTACGCTCACACACGTTGGAGGAAGTCTTGTATCGTGTTCCGCCCAGCTCCAACGTGCCCTCGGCTGGAGGGATCCAAGCGCGCGTGTCAGGCTGTCGTAAGTTCGAGCGTCAGTCGTGCGACGGACACGCTAGTGTCGCGCCTCACGACACAAGCGGACTCACATAATTCAGCAACACTTGCAGCGTATCCGACGCCTTAGCGCTTTTGCCCGGCGAACGGGTGAACATCCTTTGTTTTAACCCCCAGACCATCGGTGGAGAATGTTGTGAGAAGCTACCGTGGCCAAGCGACCGGAGTAAGTTCTTGCAATGACGGAAGGTTGAATACTCGTGTAGAGCGCCATGTGTTGCGTGGGATGAGCGCGGCCCGCCGCAGATGCAAAGCCTCTTTGCGGCTTTCGCGTAGTAGACGATGTGAGAAGAAATTATAGAAGCCTGGCCGTCTTCGACGACCAATACAACAATGCCAACAAATGGTATTCGAAAACCTAACCCGTATCGAAGATGGAACCTTTTCGAGGGTCTGAAGAACATGTCGCTCAGTTCGGCGAGCCAAGTCTAGCGTTCGTTTCGAACCAGTCGCTGGCATGCGCCACACGCCGTGCCTTGGAGACGGCGAGAACTGAGCTGCCGTAGCTGCGAGTCAAATGGGCAAGCACACGGACCTTTCGCCGGGGGGGGGGGGGGGGCAGTAGCGGTGGACAACCCAGGGTCCAGTGGGATGGCGGCGCTGCCTGGCGGGCAGCGCCGCACCGCGAGGCGCGAGCGTCGTTTTAGACCGCGGCAGGGTGGATCCGGCCTAGCAGCAAGTCGAGAAGTCATCGTCGAATTTGGCACGTAGGTCGGCAGCTGGCACAGTGGGAGCGAGAGGTCATGCCCAAATCACAGAGGTTAGTGGCCCGATGCACGCGTGGGACCCTCGTCCGCGCTTTACAATCATGATTTAGGTCGCATATTTGTCGCGGCTGGGCTACGTGCTGGCCGTGCCTGTGGGGTGATTATTTGTGCCTGCAGGTTGCCGGACATTTAACCCGGCGATCAAGTTGTCCTAGTACCTGTAAAGGAGCATTTTCGTAACATAACCCCGTGATTCCCTGATATCGTCTTTTGAACGATGCCTCGTGGCATAATCAAGGTTTATTATTTTCAGTGTGATCACTCACGGTGCGAAAACATCGCAATCTTAAGGCATTTCTTGCTTCAGGCATGCTGAACTCCATTCTTGTATACAATGCATCAATATTTTAATCAGTGCTGTCGCCACATCCGCTCTGTCATCGCCAAACCCGTCAAACCCGGAGGAGGCCCGGCTCGTCACTCCACTACGGAGCAGGGTGAACAGGAATTGGGCACCAGTCACAGAGTCAGCAGCCGTTAATGTGACACTTGAGCATGGCGACGCAGTCCGGCATTCGTCGGACGTCATGGCTTTACCAGATTAAAATCGGATTTGGACCGGTACCGCTTGCGTAATAAAATCACAAGAAATGTGAGCTGGCATTCTGTTAGTTCCTCTATTTGCTGTTATAGCTTGTTCAGTCACAGTGGAAAGTTATCGGGTGAAACAGCTTAATCAGGGACTTGCGCGAAACAATCCTGCCCACGATGATATGAAAGTGATAAAGAATAGAAACGTTAGGACCCGAATGAAACTATTCTCATTGTCTATACCGCCTGGGAAGTGCGTATGGATAAATATCGCAAGGTGAAATGGTCGTCAGAAAAAATGTTTGTGCGCTCAAAAGCTGGCATGGAAAATGGTCGTGAACAACTGTTTGAACCCGATTACTCGTGGGTGCCAGAGTAAGTCAAGGGCAGCTTTCGTTTGAGAAAAGTACGTAAGCAAATATTTATGTTTTGATATGTGATGTAAGCACGTGACGTTTATGCGAAAATATTCGTCAGGGGTGAAGTTCACCTGGCGATAGTACGTACGTAACTTTGTATGCAGATGTGTACGGAGTGTTAGAATGCAGATCTGCATTATTGGCGTCGGGCACCGAATGAGCGGTCATTGAGGGAGCTGCCACGTAACGTCGGCTGGAGAGAGGAGGGGGTAGGGATGGCAGTAAACGTTTGCCACTGCGTGGGTCAGGTCAAGTTTTGCGATTAACCTAACTCTTCATGGCATGAACTGTAACGCTCCGAGGCGATCAGCACATGAACTTGAATTTTTTGGGTAGTGCGAGATTGCCCTGGACTAGAGGGTACTGTATGTGCCTTCCTTTGGGATAATGATAGGCTTGAAAAATAATGGTGCATGTTAACTGCAGATCACTTGCCGAGTTTGCTGCGCTCCCCTTTCTCCCTCACCCCGCCGCCGTTTACGCCGATGACCTCACCTGACCCCCTGGAGTGACGACTTCATCTGGCCCCCTGGAAACGGCGGGCAGACGCGCCAGTGGCATTCGGTACACGATTGCTTATTTGAAAAACCGGACTTAGTGTCCTGCGCCAGACTCAACATTGTCCGAGAGCATCTTTTTAAACGCACACCAGATGTAGCAAACATCACTCACCCTATCAATTCTTTAGAGCACTCCCTGAAACAAAAATCCAGCAAAGTTTAAAAGCTGTCGGTGCATAATTTGGTACGCTGATGGTCAATCTGTTTTGTAACACTACATCCACCCTACCGAAGTCAATTACCTCCCTATATCGCCAGAGGTTTAATGCTCATCATTCTCGTAGAGCGGGATGCAACCACGTGGCCCCGTTTCTACGCCTATGCTACTCACGAACTTTGGCGGACGTATTTTGTAGCCAGCTTTACCAGCTTCGAGCATATGCGTGCGTTGACTTGCTAACGAACAGCTGAGTACGTACGTTATGCATACGAACTTTTTTCGGACGAACTTTTGTTCTGGCGAGCTTCTGTCAATACGAACGTTTTCCAGACATGCTTTATACCATGCGAAAATTCAGTGACAAACTTTTGTGCATCAGCTTTGTGAACGTAGCCCTGCTATACGAATTGTATACCTTACGTACATCTGCTGACGGACAGTTGCGTACGTTCCTCATGCATACGTACTGTTCCAATATTTCAAGATGCGCTCTTGTCCTAGAGCCGTTTAAAGCACCACACGCGGCGAGCAGTTCCAAACCAGCGCGATTTGTCGCCACGCTGACTGCGTGGGGCGCGCCTGACAAAGCTTGCCGTGGCGCTGATGCGAGTGGCACGGCCAACACCGCGCGTTCAGCCCAGGCCGAACGGTGCCGGGTCCCAGACGGCCCACCGGCATCGGTAGCTGGTCCGCGGAGACACGCGTGAGCGGCTGCCGTGGCACTGACGTGACTGACTGTAGACTGACTGTTCATCCCCGTGACGGGCGTCTGCGGGATGAACAACTTTGGGATCCCCGCACGATGCCTGGAGCTGACGGCATGGTGTAATCCGTGTTTCAGCTGGCAGGACCGGTGACCAGGGTGGACTCATGTCGCATTCCTCCGAGGCAGTCTGCACCCACGTGCGAGCTAGGCGCAAGGCCGCCAAAATGCTGGTCGTCGTCGTCGTCGTCTTCGCCATCTGCTTGCTGTTCGTGCATGCCTTTATGGTCATCAGGTGAGTCTGGCACGCGGGTGTCTCGTAATTATTGAGATGACAGACAGGTCGTTGGTGGGATTAGTTACTGCGTTGAAAGCAAACTTTTCTTGCCGTTTTGGTTTATATGGGTTACAATCTAATAGTGAACCATAAGAGTCCTGTCAAGATGCCAAAGCAAAGGCTTTAGTCACGCTGCCCGTCTCCACATCATCTGGCGAAGGATGGTGTACCACAAGGACTACCCATCTTACTTGTGTTGCATGTCTAGGATGTGAGCGCAGATAAGGGCATAAACGCTTTGAGCCGGGGCTCGAACCCGTGGACTGACACCGCGTTATGGCTTACTCAACTTATTACAACTTAAACAGCACTACCTCCGCTGCCAAAAACTTCACGAAACGTATTTGCCCCATCGCCATGGATATTGTTCCAGCGAAGTCATCTTCTGCGCCAAGCCATCCCGGGATCCTCATCAGGGCGGCTGGGGGAGCGGGAGCAGGGAATCATCGGCGACCCGCGATATTAGATCGATGCGGCGCGGACCGATATTGGATTGATACTCTCAGCTGTCCAGCGGGCTGTAAAAACGCCAACAATCCCCTGGCGGGGAGCTCGTCTTTACGCTTATGGCCCACCAGTGAGCTCCATAATGACGGCGTGGGAGAGTCCAGCTAGATGTGTCCGCAATTTCGAAAACGCGTGTGCGACAGTGTGCCGATCGCGGCATGCTCCGCCTTCATTGAACTGCCTTCGAAGGCGGCGGATTTATCACAGACAGCTGAGACTCGAGACTTTTGTCATGTGAGCGTGTCTGGAATCGGGAAGCACTGCCCGGCTCACAGCCCACTGGCAAACGGAGTACGTGTTGTCCTAATTCCTCGCGGGTGGAGCACCATACTTGAAACTCCTGCAGCTTCAGGCATTCACAGCGAGATCATATATGGTGATATTGGCTTCCCTCATGACTTCAGATATGGCGCATCACGTTTGCTTTGGGCGCAGAGGTACTCTCCTGTACTGGTCCCTCGATGGCCGTTTGGGGGGCGATTGAACGGAGAGTCTGGCTTCGCGGTATGATTTCGCTTTCACGGCCGGTGTCCGTCTTACTCCCAGTCGTACTCGCCCGATCGACCCATCGTGGCCGGTCTGAGCTTCTCTCCCTTCAGCCCGACTCCACCGATCGGTGACGGCCCGTCCCGCCGCAGATCCGCCCTAGGCAGTGAGGGCTGGCAGCGGGTGCCCGGCCTGGTGGCCCAGGCGTCCGTGTCAATCTCCCACTGGCTGTTCTACTTCAACAGTGCCATCAACCCCATCATCTACAACTTCATGAGCAGTGAGTGTCGCCGCGCTGGCGGGGTCGGGTCGGGTTGGGTCGGGTCCGTGTGCGTCCGTCCAGGCGAGGCGGCAGCGGCAGCTCGACGGCGCCCGCCTGAGGCGCTCCGTCGGCGGACCCGCCGGCGGACCCCTGACGCCGCCGATGGACCGGTGGTGGACCCCTGGGACCGGCCGCTCGTGGTCGGCTGGACTGGCGAAGGACCCCTGGACCGGCCACTCGCGGCCGACTGGACCAGTGGCGCGGGCAGGGTACCGGTGGTGAGAGAGCATGAGGAGCAGAGAGAGGAGAAGACTGGGGATGGGCCGGCCTTCGTATAATTGAAAATCACCTGAATCTTTTTGTTTCGCACACGAGATACATACAACCGAAAAGGAAATATCTGCATTTTTGACGACATGTCTTCGTGTTTTACAAAATGGTTCCAAATGATGGTAAGTTTTGGACGTGAGGTTTAACAGTGCAGTGTCGGTTTACAAATGATTCACGACATGACGCTGCTTTGTGATTGACAGATGGCAGGAATTATGGCGATCAGAAAATGCGCATCAGTTTCGAGAATCTCACGTCTTTCTAGAAAGTTGATAATGACAAAGCAGTTCTATTCTAAAGTTCTGTATAATTCTGTTATTTCAGACTTGGTGACCTTTGTATGCGATTTCAGTTGACCAGTGGGTCACTTGGATCAGCAACTTCTTGAGCTCGTGCCGTCGGACGTGTGGCTGCCAGAAACAGCATGAACGGTTCCACGTGACAGAGCGCGCCAACATTAAATCATAACGAGCACATTATGTTCGGGGCGCAGGCACAGGGCCGCCTGCTCACACGCCGGGAATAGAACTGCGAAGGCCGGCGCTCGTCACAGCTGCGCCATATACATCGTCCGCAATTTGATCGACTCGATTTACTCTTCACTGAACTGACGACATCCTTTTTCACGCTAGCCTCATTAAACGGGGGCCTGATCCGGTACCAAATATGAAATGCACATGAAGCGAGGAGAAACGGGAGCGAAAGCCATTGAATGCTGTCTGGTCTGCCCAGCTAGCCGGTAAATGCTATCCTTGAAACGTTTTTGTTTCGTCACAATGTAGTTATTTGTCGCGCATGCATCACTTTATAATCTGTTCCTATGGGGCCTAGTTCGCAAACATAAAATGACGAATAGCAAACGTTGATGAAACCAAAACACTTCCGTGACAAAATACATAATCTGCCAGAGGTCACGCTCACGCAATACGTAAAGTGGTTCAAGATGTTATTGCCTTCGCGTTTAGTTTTGCTCAAGGTGTGATTTGCCTCCGTAGACAAAACTCAGTGATGGCGTATGAGTTCCTGTTCCAGTTCATATATATTTACATATGCATATATATATATATATATATATATATATATATATATATATATATATATATATGTACACACACACACACACACACACATATATATATATATATATATATATATATATATATATATATATATATATATATATATGGGGGTCGTCGCAACACGGCACCAAAACAATTCGACCGAGACAGTAGCATGCAATCGTACTGCCATGCTTATTAGTTCCTGTGTGCGGATGGGCATGCGCTGTTGAGCTCATTGCATAAATTTGCATGTTGTGCAGATCGTGCGACATGTCAATAGCAGCAATGTAGTAACCTCTCAAGAGCGGGGGTGTCATCCGGCAAAATTGCGGGGGCGGAGGCAAGCAGTTGGAGATAATGAGACTTGCGCAAAAACGCAAACAAGGGGGTTTCTCTCCGGCTTTTACGGGGGGCGGGAGAGGGGCAAACAGAGATAATGAGACCTGCCCAAGAAGCTAAAAATGGGGTTTCGCCCCGGCTTTAGACCATTTATTTTCTCAAAGTTTAGGGAAGGGTCTGGAGCCCTCCCCCACATCCCACACCAACTGAATATCAAGCTACAGGTACACTTGCTCTCGCGGCTGCTGGGGAATTTGTAACGACGGATTTTCGAGTCGCCGAATGCCACTGAATGTTTCAGAACGAATCTGAATGTCCGGCACACAACGCCATTAACCCAGCAGCACACCCTCCCTCACTCCCCAAACCACGACCGTCAGAATGTCAAAGTTCTCCTCCCTTGGGCAGTTAGTTGCAACACCATGGATAGTCATGACCGGCGTGTCAGCCAATAGATGTAAAGTTGGCATCGGCACGTAACGCTCCGGCATGTTTTACGACCCTCCAGGCCATGTAGCTTCGCACTACTGGTCGAGTGGCACTCAACCATTTTCACATTCCACACGTAAATATTTTTGGGGGACAACAAAATCACAAGACACATGCCAGTAGCCAGAAACAGTTCTGCCGCTATCCCCCCTCTCCCACGCTCACGTTCTTAGTACGGCACACCTGCGGACACTTTGAGCACTCACATGGTCAGAGCCAACCTATCTATCAGCAGTGCTTCCAGGACGACATTTGGATGGCGTACGTCGAGCTTTGGGTGGCTTTTAATGTACTTTTTGGTAAGAATCGACTGACGACATGCAACAGATCCATTGCCAGCTTTCTTTGCACTGTGATTCCTACAAAAATGTGCACCCGCCCAAGCGAACACTTGAGAGCGTTCAGCACGCATTTTGTGTATATATACGGCACCAATATATATATATATATATATATATATATATATATATATATATATATATATATATATATATATATATATTGGTGCCGTGTTGCTGCCGAGGGCCCAGTCATGCGACTGCAAAATTGTTTCCCCCGAGCGGAGGTCCCTCAGCAGAAATACGCGACAGTGCGTGCAACCAATTTTTGGCCGCCGGCAGAGCGGCGAACGGGCGCGGCTGTTTGCACCGACGAAATCCGCGAATGGGCAGCGGGTAAGGCTTAGGGCTATGTGACCAGAGTGCTGCAAGGCGCGGAAATATTTTGGGCGGATATTGGTCACTATGAATTGGGGTTTAAGCCTGCCCGAACTGTCAAGATCTGGCCAGAAGTTCTTTAAAAACGTCCTCAAACCTCCGGATCCGTGGTTTTTGCACGAGGACATGTGCGCCGCCGTATGCATTTATCGACGCTGTCACTGGTGCGATCGTCAGTTCCGTGCCGAATCGAAATGTGCTGGTTTCGTTTCGTTGTGACCTGTCGTTGTCAAGATGTAGGCCTGGTTTTAGCGCACTACTCGGCGATTTTTGGCAACTTGCGAATTCTGCGTGCTCCATGTTAAGCCAATGAAGTAACGCTGGCTCGTGTCACGTGCGCCACGTCACGGTAAGCAGTGTCACATTTGCCATAACCCATCGCACCGCCAGAACTCTTAGGCCAATGACCCTCAAAATCTCAAAAATGCACGAATGTTCACTACAGGCTCAAGAAACCGTTATGCCCATTCGGCGGAAATACTGTAATCTCTAGTATGGATTTTGATCAACCTCATGACAAACAATGGATTTCGCTCCTGTTTACCCTAGTTTCCGTTAAGTTCAGATTTTGTGGTACTTAGGTGCGGTTTGATGAGGCTGGTGTACATAATGCTAATGCAAACGAACATTGTCTGTCGAAAGTGCGCGGCTCTCCACTATCCACAATAGGGAAAGGTGGTGCTGGAGCTTGCATCCACAATTACGCGGTCAATTCAGCTTTTGCTCACACGATGGCGGTTGTACAGAATCACATCCCTACAAGGTATCTGCTAATGTCGTTGAAGTTACAACATTTTTACGTCTCCATTTGGTTTTGTTTAACGATGCAAAATGAAATTCCTAACTCATGAAAAATTCTGAAAATGACCCATCCTATCAACTCCAATAGCCCTGCCTTTGCCGATTATGCGTTGTCTAAGTTAAACCTCTCTCAATCGGCCGTCTAAAGCTATTTGGGCTCACATTTGTCAACGAAACGGGCTCTGATAAGTTCGCAAATTCCCTTGAGCGGTGCTCATGGGCTCGCAAAGAAGGCCCCGGGAGGGAAACTGTCTGTTTGATAAACGCAAACCCGCTCGTGCCCAACGGACCTCAGAAGAGGGCAGAAGTTAAAAAGTAGGATACGTTATCTTATCCCGCGTTTGCGTGAATATCACTTTTGTCAAAATATTTGCGCCTCGCGATCATTTCGCAGCCCACGTTGCGAAATAACGGTTTCCAGGTTCTACGACTCAGTACGTCGTGTTAATGGCACATTAAGATGGTAAAGTACTTGCGCAACGTAAGGCATGGTGAGTGTTACAGGAAACTGAGATGACGTTCTTACAATTATCTTGTGCGTGATAGTCGTGAAGTGTGGATATCAGTCCCTGTGGACTGCACTGCACCTATCGGTATTTTGCATTGCCCAGTATGGCTCAGTTTAGACCGCAGCTCGCGCTCAAGAGCTGTTAAGAAACACGTCACTGGCCCTTCCCGGTCGATTGCTGACGCACGTATCCGTCGCACATGTGTCAGATTTCCGCGCGATTTGAAGACGCTACGTTGACTTGCAGCGTGCAGTTGGCTTCACGCCATCTTCCAGGGCCGCGGTCGACGAAATCTGCTAAGAAAACGACCAATCCGCGGTTTGCTCTGGAAAGCGCTTTGCCAGGCGTTCTCATCGGTCCACACTTTTGCAAACACGGTTGCTCGTTCTCTCCTCTATTAAAATAAGCTCTTTCCGTTCCGCGCCGATGACGTCGTCGACGTCGGCGAAAAATGTTGACCCGTGTTGTGCATCTTTCTTTTCAATCGGCAACTTTTGCTTTTCCCGTGTTAATTATTTTTCTATATGAGGGCTGAATCGGCCGCCGCGAGTGTTTTTTTTTTTTTGCCAGCCCGGCCAAAATGTTTAGAAAGATTGTCAAGAACTTTGCGACATTTCCTTATTTTAATTGTTGCACCTCTTGCCAAACTTTTAGCACTCAGTCTTGACCAGTGCCGGATTTAGTACAGGTTTTCGAGGAGTGCGTTTTGTCATTCTTTGACGCTTAAGTACACGTGGGAACTACTGTGAGATATATCAAGTGAACTCTTTTTG